ACCTCTTAAATGGATATGAGACTCTAATGCATAATAGTCCGAAGGGAATGCATTCTTCTCGACGAGAATGCAACATTTCTCACCCTGTGGTCGGTAGAATGATGCCAGAAGGGTGTGAATATTGGCACTAAGACTCTCCATAACAGCAACCTCGTCGACCTTAGCACCGACAATATACTCAGCAAGAATCTTCTTAGGGCGTAAATCCGAGGTTTCGGTAGGCGAGTAACCTAGTGTGTGACTGAGCACACCGAGCGTTCTCCATGACTCTAGCACCTTTTCAAGGTTTTGACCAGTAGACTTCGGCGGAAGGCCAAGAGAGTTTGTACACAAGTAGATTACCTCCGTGAGGCCATCACCATTGCTTTGACCGCATGGATCTTTGACTTGATCAAAGAGTTCGGACAAGGTAGGCAACTTGAACCTATCACGGAGACCCTTCAGGGGGTCCTCCCCATCGAGTTTCACTGCTAGTGCCTCCAAGTCTCGGGCTGAGAGTGGAACCATACCGGGAAACATGAGACAAAAATATTTTACCTCTACCACGCTAAAACAGCCATAACGTGACCGCTCGGATCAGCCCAATAGGTACAACTAGCAGCCTCAAGGTCGTAGATATTGTAATTATTGGTCCATAGTGTGATTAAGTAGGTCACAGCATTTTCAATATCCTATTGAATCATACCTGATTTGTTTTTTGCACTTAGTCCATGATAAAAAGGTTAATCGACTATCATTCAGTTGATGTGCTAAAATGTTTTTAGTGAAGCTCAGGCATTGATTGTATAGGGGACACATAATATGCCAGCATAATAACTCTACATGCCATAAAGTCAACGCGAAGCCACTGGCCAACTCTAGGCATTGAAGCATCCCCAAATAAACTTTGTACAATGAGAATTCATAGTACCTGAAATGTGTTGCAATACTTAGCTCTTGTAAAGTTTGCTATAATTGGTAGTCAATTATGGAGCCATATAGCCTTGGCCAAGCCGAACATCTGCCTATATTTTACCGAAGACGTGAGTTCAGCCCTACTGTCATCTGTTCACTTTTATAGCTTCCGAGACTTCTTACTACGTTTTAAGTTGGACTGATAGCATGGAGTGGCCTGAAGGCTAGCTCACGCATATAATGGTAAGCTGAATACCAAAGTAACCGCCATATATCCGGTGGACACACCTACAAAGTATTGCAC